TATATTATTATATATAATATACTCTCTCTCTCTCTCTCTCTCTCTCTCTCTCTCTCTCTCTCCCCCCCTCCTCTCTCTACGTATATATATATATTTTATTGTTATAAATTTTAATTGGAAAATATGTTATTATGAATAATAATTATTAATTATTATAAAAATTAAAAATACAATAATATGTATTTATTTGTAGTATTAATTAGTATGTAGTATAAATTAGCGATATATTATTACTTTTTTATGTATTTGCTTATTTATACTTCAGCATCTACTTACAATAAGATACAATAAAATCGTGTTATATATAAGATCAGACATGTAAATATGACAAATTGCTTTATAAACACAGAAAAAAGACAATGTAATCATATTCCGTCGTATATATGCTGTAAAACTTCCTCTTGTTCAAATTAACACGTCAATGAAAGAGAATTTCACATTGGATTTGTGTTAAGTGCTTGAGTTAACTGGAACATATGATAATTGACTGTACACATTTGTGAAAGTTGCAAATACACAACAAAACTTGTAGACGGAGACACACAATGTGTATATATATATATAAAATTCTATTACAGTTTCATACGTTCATTTATTTAATTTTTCGATGATAGCAGATACAAAGTCTAAGAAAATTATTTTTCAAGATAGATTATCTGAATGTAACATCTGAGCTCATTTCACTGGCATGATGTAAGAGAAAGAGAGAAAGTTTCTTGAATCCGCAAGAATCTAATTTGCAAGTAGCGTATCTTTTTCTCAGCAACCGTTAAATTCTCAGTAACCGTCTGTGTTAATTTATTAATTATGTAAATAAATGAAACAATTTTTAATATAAATTTCAAAGGTGCAATTATGATGTATGAATTTTGTAATTGAAGCAAAAATATCAAGAATTAAGAACTAATTAAGAATAAATAAATTATTGTCCGTATTATAGAAAGGTGTTTATTTATTATCGTAAAGCACACAATTCTTACTGTGTATTTAAGAAAAATATAATGGAACATTGGCGTAAACAATATATTTGACGAACAAAAGATTGAGAGAAAGCGAGAAACGAATCGTTATTTTGTTGAGTGAAAAAAATGGGAAAAAAATAAAGATAAGGCGTATTGAAACCGGTTCGAATTTAGGTTGTCGACCTTCAGTTCTTAGCTCTATGCATTTTAGAAATGCCCTATGCATTTAGAAGTGCTCATATCTTTTTATGCGTTCATACTTTCTGGTACGATATGATAATTCCAGGAAATGCATATAATGGTCCTTAACAATGACAAGTTCATTGACATCATAAGAATACATTTTTTTTTTTTTTGAGAGAATAAATTATTCTTTTGATAACTTTTTGCTATACACAAAATCTGATATTTTATTTATTATATTTGTATTATAAAAGCAATACTAAAAAATAAAAATAAGATTCTATGGATGATCGACTCTCAATCCTAAATCGTATCCATTTGGAGATGTAAAAAATAGGAATTCCGAAATATTATATCGCATTGTAGAAAGTAATGAGTGTCGAAGGTATTTGTAAAGGCCCGATCCACACTATCGGTCCGCTCACGGTCCGCTCACGGTCCGATCAAATATTCTTCCATTGTTTATAAAGTATGTATTCACACTATGGGTAACGCTCAAGTTTCTGTCCGATCTCGCTCCGCTCTCAGCCCAGCAACGATCCTTCGAAAGAATATTTTGCCGGAGCGTGATCGAACTTGTCCGAACCGATAGTGTGAACAGGCTTTCGATCAATCCACCGTCAATTGTCGCAATCTGTTAGTGTCGAGCAGTATCGAGCAGTGTCAAACAGTGAAGCAATATGAAGCATAAAAAGCATATGAAGAATGAAAAATTTTGGTTATTTGAAAAAAGTACGTATAATTAAGAAAGAATAATTAGAAATTATTAATAAAAATTAAGCTGAATGAGCCAACGTAGGTTCTTAGTGCGATCCATATTTCGACATATCATTTCCGATAAAATCCATTGCGAAATAATCTGACTGTTGATTAACATTATTTAACACGATGATATTGTAATTTATTCCATGAACAATTGTTTTTATTCGCGTGCATTCTATGATATTTTGAGGTAGAAACTATACCAGTCATCTGTGAACGAACCGTGAGCGGACCGATAGTGTGGATCCGGGCCTAACCCAGAAAATTAATCACAAAACTGTCTCCGTTCCTTCTAAGGAATACCGTTAAACGGAGGTGACGAAGTCCCCTCGTACCTGTTAAATATTTAAAAAGATGCGCATGAAGCACAATGGAATATCTCTCGAATAAGTTATCTGTTACCTTTCCAAGCGATTGTCATTTAAAAGACCACGATGATGATGGCCTTCACTATAAATTATTGTTTTGTCACTGACATCAATTTTTCTTCATTCGATATATTCTTACTTTTAATAGATAAGGAATTAATAAATAGTATTAAAATTGCTAAAGCCAAAAGTGATATTGTGAATGAACTTTCCTATTTTAAAGTGAATGTTTATCACATGTCATACTTATATAATAATTTTAAAACAAACTCAAATGTAATTTTACTTTCTCTCGTGTTTTAACAAATATATTTAATATTTTTGAAAAGAGCATAAAATTAGACAAAACCTATAATCACTGTTTATCATATCTTTAGATGTTGTTTGCAGCGTATCAATCACTTCAGAAAGCAAGATGTTAACCGCAAGTTTTTGTTTCTTTCTTACGATAATTATGTATCAAAAGTCGACGGCGACGTAATAAAATAACCGCGAGTGGACGAAAGTCGATGAATAAAAATTTTTATTAGCTTAGGTTACATCAGAAAACCCGTTGAGAAGACGTAAGCTGTAGGCCACGTTTTACAAGTTGAGCGTATGTCTGGGTCAAGGTGAGCGGCTTGATGCACGTGGTTATACGGGAATGCATCTGCTCGCTTCACCAAAGAAGCTGCACTATGATATTGAACTATGACGCTGATTCAAAAAGAGATTAATCGACATGTGAATAAAACGGATATTGTTTTACAGTTTTATTAAAAATTAAAGTTAAGTGTTCTCGCAGTGTACTTGCTTTGCTTATAACTCGGAAGAAAATTATGACCGTTTACATTAAGTGTCACCTAAATGCACACGCACACGCTGCTTGTAAGAAAAGTATACATCCGCGACCGTGAAGCACGTGCAATCGTGAATGACGAGGCGCGAAATGTATACCTGTCGCCGTCGATGTGGTCAGTTTTCTAAACAATCTACGGCACGTCTCAGAAAAGTTAGAAAGTGTCGTAAATCAAAATGTCATGAATTTTAAAATTTCAACAGAAAAAAGAAACATCTAAAAATAAAACACATTATTTTCAAGTATCCAAATTATTAGCCAAAAATTACGATATACTGTCGAACTTCTTGAGATGCAGCTTTGATCTCTGAGTGCAACGACCTCAAAAGTCCTTACTGCACATAAAAATAACTCCCCGAGTCCCTGAATTATTACTTCTTTTACTATTTTAAGCACTCTATGATAACGAAGTCGATAAACGAAGTTCGGGTGGAGAGTCTATTTTAGGGTCTATCAGTGCAATAATGCATCTCTCCACGCAGTCGCGCGTTTGTTTAAAAAATTATCGAAGAAAGTTTTTCTGGGGAGGTGGCCGCTGGTGTCTGCCCACAATAATGAGTCGTACGTCTTGTCATACGTTGTCGTCGTGCACGTCGTCGTTAACCAGAGTGGGGGATATCGAGGAGGGTCCTACATGGTGGATACCTATAAAGATTGAAGCGACGCAGGGCCAGGTCACACTTTGTTCCGAAAATTTTCCGGGGAGTTCTCTCGCACTCCATCTCCGGCCACCTATTCTCAGTGTTCTATTTCACGACAACTTGCCAAGTGACTGAACGAGGAAGATGAACAAACTCCTGGTGGTACTTCTTGCTGCATATGTTGCAGCTGGACCTGCGAAACCTGTATTGCAATCAGTGGATTGTTTTACTTCCCACGATAATGAGTTCTTCAGTTGTTATTTTGTGAAGATCATCGCTGCTCTGAATAAAGCGGCTGTATCGGAAGACGTCAACATCATCGATGGCGTAACTTTCGTACGAGATACACCAAGTATGTTTTTGTGCTTTACTTAAACTTGTAGTGCTTTATAATGCGTAAAAAAGTAATTGGTTAAGATCAGAATTTAAGTACATTTACAATGATACTTTATCAGAATTAATAGCACTATATGATATTAATAAAAAAAGGATTTATTATTGTAAAATTAAAAAATGTATTATATTATTGTGAGTTAGTACAAAAAAAAACAGAATATAAAAAATACAAAAAGTAAAAAAAAAATATTAAGAAATAAGAAATTATTCAATTGCTTTTAAACATGCTTAACAAACTTATAACATCGTAATATCGCGTGGACAAACATATGTGCATGTATGCAGACATTCTCCATCATTTTTGTTTGTAGAAAGATGCAACTGTAAAGACAACTTTTCTAATAATTGACATTCATCCATCTAACATTTTTAACATCAACTGTAATTGCAAAAATTTTTTGTTACAGTGGAGAGGACTGCTAGGAATTTACAGCAGTCCGAATCGGAGATAATACAGGAATTACCACAGGATACGTCCGAAAGGACGACAAAACTTTTTATCATGTTCCTTGATGCAAGCAATTCCTTCTTAAGCAGTCACAGTTTGTCATTCAAGAAACTGTCCACAGAAACGGTTTCACGCGCTCTGAATGATGGTAAGTCTTATTTCTTACACCTCTATTAAGTATCTCGATTGCGCAATCGTCCTTTCATCGATGTCTAGACGATTAACGTCACGGATTCGCGACGTCATGAGTATAAACGAATAAGCGCTTCAGCACGCCTTTCACCTTCGTGATATCTATATCTATATGGCGTCAGACCTGTTCCGGATAAACTCGTTCTTCAAGGAAACGCGATTCGCTTTCCTTCTCGATTGTATTCAAAAAAAGTTTTGGCTAATTATCGTTACATCGCTCATTAGAATTAGAATATAGTGCATGTTCGTCGATCGATACTTTCTTTAAATATATCTAACTTTTTAATTTCTATATTTTTCTATAGATCACCGTTTTAATGAATTTCAACTCTTTTCACGTATCAGAAAGTTAAATATGTTTCTGTGTATAATATTAAAGTACTATCGATCTTTATTAAGCGCTGTAATTATTAAAAATACAAGTTTTCCCACCAAATAATTAATTAATCCTAGTCACAAAATAGTGTGACTAATAAATATATCTCTTTGATCAATTATATAACCAGCATTAATTATATTTACTTCTTTGTGAATAGGACGTGCCAAATTAAAGAAGTGGATTTGGCCACTGGTCTATGTGGGATTCAAGGTTGTAATGCTACCCCTGGTTGCTAGCGTTATTCTTCTGGTTTTCAAAGCTTTAATTCTGGGTAAAATCGCCCTTCTGCTTAGCGGTTACGCAATGTACGACCAATTTATTAGCAACAAGTTGCCGACTAGTGATGTCAACCAGAATTTCGTACCTAATCCCCCCATCCATGACAGCTTTGCCGGAAATTGGTTTGCTGCTTCCGAACATCCAGGATATAGGAGCTTGGACGAGACGAAAGCTGACGCGAAAATCGACGCCCATAATTTGGCATATTCCGCGCACAAACCGCAAACTCCCAATGTTATCGAATAAACGAGACTTCTCACTCGGAATTTCATTCCATTCATCTGACATGGAGAGACTTTTAAAAGGGTTTAAAAATACCGAAAGCCATATCCAAGAGCCAAAAAATTGTCTCGAGGCCATTGGACCCACCTACGACTGCTAGATTAGTATACCTATACCTATATATATCTATATTTATATATGTTACATATTTATATACGTATAAGTGTTTTATGTACGTCGAATGTAATTAATCGATTCTATGAGTTATTGAACAATCGTATGTGTCAAATAATTAAATTCTACTTGTATATTTAATAAATCATTTATGAAAAAAAAAATTAGTGCTTGTTACATTGCTTTACTTATCTGTCTACAGACATGAGATGCGAGAAATCTCCTTTCATGAATCGTAAATAAAAAGTAAATTTCCAATTCAGAGAAATTATCGCAAAAATCTGACGCAGCGCAGTGCATGGAAAATCGTACGTGATCAGTTTCTGCTAGTGCGAAATATTGACAACCCGGCGTGCAATCACAGAGCTCATATGTGATTCCGATCGGATATGGACATACCTACAGGTCATTTACACTCCCACTTCTGTCTTCTGCGATCTTTCTTTTTCTTTAGCTGTTGTCTCTGTCATTCGTTCCATTTCTTTTCCTCGAGTGGCTTTCAACTGGTTGATTCGGGACACAAGTTTAGCATACTATCACCAAGAGACACGGAAATCTAATTTTCACCAGAAAGCTCGTGAACGAATGCAATAATGATGTATGCTGATTGTAAAAGATAATTGCTTAGAGCCAATCCTCCAAGCCATTGTATGCATATGCCATGCAAATAATTTTAACTACCAATGCATAAATAAATTAGAAATTTTTTTACATAAGACAAATTTTTAAATAAAAGAAATTAATGGGGGGGGGAGAAAGGCAATAAGAACTAAATGCGCGAGTGTTAATGACACAAAAACAACAACTAGATGGAAAAAATACAAAACAAAAAAAAAAGACGTTTTGATCCGACTTCCGAATCTTCCTCAGTTTGATGAAAATGGTGCGATGGTCACGCGTTTTTTAAATAAATTTAATAACGTAAAATATATGCTAAAAGAGCAACTAACCGACAAAATGTAATTATATTTTTGAAATTTAATATTCTTGTAGTTTCGTTCAATTCATGTTAAAATAAACTGGGCTTTTAGTAGGTTGAAGAATATTCTCATTTCTATATTAAATTTTTATTGAATGTAACGTTGTTAATTTTATACAAAACTAATTTTTGTTTCAATATGTTGCTAATTTTACATAAAAATAATGGCTTGTAAATAAATGCAAACTACTGGGAAAAATTGATGTATAATTAATCAAAAAAATCCAGCAAAAAATAGCAAAAACAAAACCCACTTTCAATTAGAAAAATCGTGGAGTTGAAAAAGAAAGAATCTATCCTAGACCCGAGAGTTTGAAAGTGATCACGAATAAAAGGAAAATTCGTTTATACCGGCGTACTCAACGTCACGCGATTCTTGTGCTATGCATGCTCATGCTCGCTCTTCAGAGAGTCGGCAAAATTAAAATTCTCGGCACTACTGCCCTTGCACGTTGCTTGCCAAATGGTTCACTATGGCCCCACTACCTATCGATTGCGGGTCGTATAAAAGAAAAAAAAACTCTGGGGGCAAACAGTCAAAATCGTTTGTTCGAAGTCGCGCTGTAGCACTTCGTGGGACAATGAAGACGAAAATAATCATCGTCCTGGCGTTGCAACTGGCGACGTTGGTGGTAGCCGACTCAAACCAGGAAGATGGAAACAGTTTAGAGTATCTAGAAGGGAGACTCACGAGGGCGATGGACGAACTCAACAGAAAGGATACCATCGGTATTTACGGTGATATCGTCACCCTGGAGAAGATCGCGGAAGATGGGGAGCCGTCGGAAAAGAGCGCGGATCCTCTTGTAAGCAGAATCGAAAAATTTTTGCAGACCCGAAGAATAGAAATTAATTTTCCTAATGACGCTTCAACGGCCGGCTTGTTTGGACGCGCTCTTGGCCAACACAACATCGACATAGAACTCAGAAGTCTGACACACGGAGCGTCCGAAGGTAAACGATACATCAGAGAAAAATTGCTATGATGTTTTTAATAGAAGAAGAAATTGAATGTTAGCATTGTTTTATGTTTACTAAATAGAGCAAAAAAATGTTGCCAAATTTGTGAATTAGAGGCAATTGGAGCATTTATTTCTTAATTTCGCATAACGAGATTGCGATTAGGATAATTTGGGGAAATATATTATTTTCAGAGTTACTAAAACCATTTCAGAAATGTGAGATCTAGAGAGAGAGAGTGTGTGTATAATGTATAACACAAGATACTTAATATAAAACTTACTAAATCGCACCTTTTCAATAGGATTACTAAGTTTGAAAAACAATAATCCTTATTTATTATAACATATTGCTGCCTTATATACTATATAGACTATATATAACAATAAAGAAAATAGTAATCCTTAGTTAAATAATTAAAACGTGTATTATTTGACATAAAGAAACAGAATATACTAAAGTGTTATAATTTTCAATTTTCTATTGCAATAAATGATATTTACTTACAATTGTAGATAATATGTTTTCATGCATCAAAAATATTCTAAATTAAAAAAAAAAATACAAGGACTATTGCTACACAAAATAACATCTATCCATCCTTATATAACGAGTAAAATGTTCTCTATTTTTCTTTAAAATATCTATTTAATTTATTTCGTAAAATATATTTAATTTTTCTATACTTGAACGAAACTTATCGTAATCTGGTCTTACACTCTATCTTTCTTACATACGTGTTAAACTTAGATATTCTGCAACCGTTTTCTACAACTAGCTATTGATGGCAACATTAGATTTAGAATTTTGTCAGATTCTTGGATCTAACATAACAGTTTCGTGTTCTTCCGCTACGTTCCGATCTGCTATGAATACATCATTCAGTGGACTCAAACTTATAGAGCCTCACCTTTCTAAAGTCTTACCAATGAGGTTTAAGTAGTTCACGAATCTCGTAAGTGATTGGCTGGAAAGTGTAACTTGCTGCATCTTCCTTTTCGATTCGGTTGCGACCGATATACCATTCACCTTCCTTTTTTCTAGTGCAGCTTATCCTTTTTCATATTTATCAATTTTTATGTTCACGCATTTGTAATGCGTAACATATTTGTCATACGATTTTGAAAATACTCAAAAATTTGGGCACGCGATTATCGATGTTCATTGATGATTACTGAAAAAGGGAGATAAGAGCGACCGAAACGAACAGATTTCGTAGAAGAAAGCTGCAGTGTCCCACTTCCAGCATATCCGTGAAAACGCATGCCAGAGGTGGGAGTGGATCGAAGTGGGTTACCGTTTGATAGGTCTGGTGGGATTCCGGGTTTCTGGGACGGCTACCGCGAGGGGATGTCTGAGAAGGACCTTGAACGAGAGTGTCGCATGTCGAAGAAAGTAGATTGGATGATGAACGACCGTTATGGTCTTTTAGAAATGCTCCTCGATCATCAAAGCATTCTGCGATTATCGATATCATTTTTTGTGTGTATTAATCACGCTCTCTATATTTCTATCACATTTAACACGAATTTTATTTATATTTCGCGGAGTTTTAGCAGGATTCTTACAATTCGATATTTAAATATCATTCTTTCATCCTTTTGTTATAATTATTAGAAATTTAATATACCATATCGTGTAATAACTTATTGAAATACTTTGGCGGGGAAGAACGCTATATAATTATTTGATTATTCACAAAGTATTGTATGTTACTTACTAATTTGCAAAATATACATTACAGCGCGTACAAGATTGAAGAAGCTGATCTTACCGCTGTTGCTCCTACTGAAAGTAAAGGCAGTGATCATTTTGCCCATCGTGATCACCCTGATCGGATTAATAAGCGTCAAGGGCTTGAGCGTAGGTCTCACGGCGCTCGTGCTTTCCGGCGCACTAGCCCTGAAGTCCCTTGTCGCACCACCGCCACCGCCAAGGGTCAGCTATGGAGTTGTAAGGCCGCATGAAATTCATCACGATCACTGGCACAGGTCGGAGCAAGAGGTCAACCAACCCTACAGAGGCTGGACACCCGAATACAATGGCGAACAGTATCCATACCACGAAATTCCGTAGAATGCAATGCGCCTTGCCATTCGTTCATTTATTTATTTATTTATTGTGTGCCTGCATATACTTGTTTTATGAACTAAAATAAATCATTCTTCTTTTTGTAAAATACCTTCTTGATCATTGCGACATCGGCATCAGTGACATCGTATCTAATCGTGACATCAACGTCACTTCGGACAGTTGTCAAATGCGTCATGTCATTGCGATACCGGCAAATTACCAAGCTCGGACATATCATATTTTTCTAACGCTTGACCTAAATGCTCACGTGACAGCGATATTGATAATAAGAAATGCTTGCAATGGGTGTATAAAATTTCACATTGTAGACGTCGTATCTTCATCGTGGCATCGACGTCACTTCGGACAATTGTCAAATGCGTCATGTCATTGCGATACTGGCAAATTGCCGGGCTCGGATGCATCATATTTTTCTAACTTTCGACCCAAATGCTTGCGTGATAGCGACACCGGCAATAAGAAATACTTGCGATGTATTGAAATTTGTAAATAATTAAATAAATATTGAGAAATGCATATGCGTATACATATGCATACACATAACTGTAAGCGGGTTACTCAGTCGGTCAGACGGGAAGGCCAATGTCCCAGATGGGAGTTCACGGACGGAGAGAAGACAGAGCGATGCGTTAGGAAGGTGGGAGGTGGTGGAGAAAGACCGGATCGCGCGCGCGAGTAGGGGAACTAGGAAGAGAAAGGAAATGAGGTTACTATGTCAGGCGTAGTAGGAAAGCGGATCGTAACGGACCGTGGCTACGATTGGTCCCCCACCGAGTTATCCCCCACGATACCTTGTACGAATCAAGGTTAGTGTGTCATTACCCTCCACGTGTTTCCCCACCGCGTGGTTCAGCCCAACAGGTACGGCCGCACGGCCGTGGCCTTCATAGTGGGGATCGGAATAACGGTATCGGTTGTGATTAGTCGAGACGCCTCGAGAGGTGGTACGGTCAATGCGGCTATATATCAGCCGTACGAGAGGATAGCACCGTTGAGAAGTGACGAACGCTATGCGGGACGCAGGCTATCGACTCATGCTGAGGCATCTTTCTTTCATACACGTTAATATTTATTAAAGTCCAGACATGCCACACAAGTTTTTCACACGTATATCATATTCAAATCATGTTTTATGTTGTTTTTAATATTTGACGCCTAATATTCTCTACATATAAAAAATGTAAATAACAATTAAATTCTTTGCTTGAATGATCGATAATTAGTTTTCCTTATCTACAATTAGTTTTCCTTATCTACAATGAAATTGTACAACATATATTTGCCAATAAAGCTGGAAATATTATTGTATATTTTTTTATATCTAATATTAAGCGTTAGAAATATTTTTCTGAGTTCAGCGTCAACAAATTGTAAATTTGTAAATTTTTTTTATTAATGATTGCTTAAAAATTCTATATATTTTATATACTTTTCTTCAAATAGTTTTCGTAAAAAATATACTTTCATAAGTATGAAACATATAAAATTAGTATAAAATTATATATAAGTTTTTTGAACAATAATATGTAGTCTCCGGAAAAATAAAGTTTTTTTAATGCTTATAGCTCGTTATGAGATATTCTTTAAATAATTTGAGATTTTTTGCAATAACAATCATATATTTTGCTATTATATACCATGTGAAACTGTGCGCTTTCTTATATTGTAGATAAATATCAATTAATTATGTACAAAAAAAATAGTTCGCAAAAATATGAATACTAATAAACTATTCGCAAAAATAATAATAATTAAATTTAATTCTTTATTTAAACTATTAATGTTTATTCAAATTAACAATTAATTTTCTTTGCAATTAAATATAATTGTATATATATTCATACTATTACTTTCATACTATAATTATCTATCATATTATTATTTTACGAACCGTAAAAACCGTTAAAATTATCATAAATATTTTAGGATTTATCAGTGGTAAATCAAATTTGTAATTTAGAAATGTAGTCTAACAGAGGTATCCACTCCTCATTTTAGGTAAGAATGTAGATCCGGGAAATCTTTTACGGATCTCAACATTTCGATCGCTATCAATAGCGGCAATTGCTTGCGGCAATAAATTATTTCATACCTTGACATGATTGGGCCAACAGTGACCGGATTATTCGAAATATAACTTACAGAAAACGGCAACGTAATACGACGACTCAATCACTGTATTCTTATCTAATCTATCACTGCAGAGAAGAAATTTGTGGTTTAACGTTCACTTGGCTCGCTTGAGAAAAAAAATGCGAAAGTATAAAATGAACGCGTTGCATTTTAAGTGCATAAAGCGGATGTGCGTTCTCAAATTAATGAGGTCTATGCAATCACTCGGGCAGTACCAAGTATCAGAAGCAGCAATTCCACCTTCCTTCAGTCCTTGTTTCATGCTTCAACGTACAAATTGTATACGCACTATGTGCATACATTCATACATTCATGGAGCATTTCCTCAGCATATAAATTTATCAATTTTCTAAAAGTAATCGAAAAAATGATTTTTAATTAATTAAAATGATTTGAAATTTATCAGAATTTTAGAGGAAGAATAATAACGCAATATTACAGATTCTGTACAAATATACAAGATATCCATACGATCAAAATGATAATTTTCCCGTTAAAGCACTGGAATGTCAATTTTTTTCCGACAAAGAAGCGGCCCAAATTGAAGAGATACCAAACTCTCTCTGCTCCTGAAATATGACAATTTATATTCCTGTGCGTATGTGCGTTATAAAGTAAGAAAGAACAATGATCGCTTTCCCAGAAGAAAGCACACAAGCCATCCGTAAAAATATCGAAGGTACCGTTTATTAACGGATAATATGGTAAACAACGTTCCGCACGCCTATCAATTTTCAGCTCTTCAAGACGAACAATTTCCCTAGGTTATATATATTTTTCTAAATTCCTAACAGTACTATATAACTGACATACCAATAATTTCGATGGGTAGGAACACGATATGCTGCGATAACCGTTGGAGAAAAATTATTGACGCGTTATCTTCGCTGATCCAGCGTGAATGTTTTCTGAATTATTGCAAATTGATGGGTAAGTGCGAGCGACTTTCTTAAAACAACGACTATCTCGATTTCGACTGAAAATAGGGTAACCAAGGCGTAACTGAACGCACAATAATCTTCATACACATTCATCTGCTGTAACATCATATTCGCTTGTAAATGTGAATTACTATCTATTATTTTCAGAATTCATTTTATGGAGAAACTCTATACTTTGCTTTTAATTTCATATACCTACTAAAATTATGAATATAATGCAAAAGATTCTTTTATATTTGTAGTTTAAGAAAATAAAAATTAGTTACGCACGCGATGAATATTTGACTAATAAATTAATAATTACTTCGTTTTATTAATGTATTTAATTGAGGCTTATTAACCCTTTCATTCCGAAATTATTTAACAGCTGCAATCAAATTTTTTTTCATGTTTTTGTGCATATTACATAACAAATAAATCTAAAAGAACTAAACATATTCATAGATATGGGAATATATCTGGCAGAATAGTATTTTATTTCATAATTTTAAATATGTAGCCATATGTGGCTACAGCGGGAACGAAAGGATTGAATAAAATTAAATAGATATAAATACTATTATTCGTGGGAACATCTCTTTTCCTTTTATTTTTTTCTACTTGCCTATTTGATGGTAAATCACGAGATTAAACAGCATTGTTTTTATTGAATGTCCCAAATACAACGTAACATTGCGGTTTCAAACGTTAACGTTGCAAAAAACAGGAAGCACGGATTATACGCAGATTACAAATGCTGGTTGTCCTGATTGAGTCTCGATTGAATAAAAAAGACGATAAAATTGGAATGCCAGATTGAGTAAATGTGAATGAACACACAAGGTAGAGCTGCATACCGTTTTTTATTCTTACAATTATCGATTTAATTTGCAAAAGGTAAATGCAAGACATTTTTCGATATCAATCCGTTCCTTTCGCCGATATTTACGACCGCGAAGCCGACGCCTCAATCTCACTCGATCTGTCGCGTACGATTTCACGATAACAAGAACAGTATGACGTGCTCGAGATAGCACGATTATTAACGAAAGGAAGGCACCGAGCGAAAAGGAAGCAACAAATTGTGAAATGGATGCCTGGGGAAGAAGGCTAGTCCGTTCTAAGTCGGCACACCTGCCGCACAGGCATGCAAGCGCGACTGTATCTCGAGATGTGCAGCGCGCCGCCACCGCGTGTGCATACGTATACGCGTACGGTGCGATAAGATCCCAGTCGAGTTGCTCGTGAAAATCGACTGCGTACTTTCACATCGGCAGATCCGTCTGAAGCGCCGTTGCTCGAGCGTGGCGCGCGAAAATCGGATCTCCTACGAGCTAGCTAAACTGGGCTGATTTAAAGTAGGACTCCCGTCTCGTTTCGCTTTGCCTGCAATAACAATTTCTATGGTATACCCATCGATGAGCTTTTCAATTGGCGATTTTTATTCACCTTCAGTTCGCGAATTGCGCATAATTTGTCTCGTCGTCCTTTTGGTTTCGTTTCTGTGAAATCGAAAGTGATCTCGTGCCGGGCGATCGGACGCTGACGATATAAGCGGCCGTTGTTGAGCAATTAATAAGTGTTTCAAATGATTGATCCAATTGATTAAATCCCTTTGTCATAATGTTGTCACTAATTACGTGTTAACTCCTGTTTCACTTTGCAAATATATATAAAACAGCATTCGTTTTTTTGCAGAAACGATTTCTACATACAGCCGGATTTAAGAAATATAGATCAGTAACTAGATTTACTTTTACAAATTTTCCGATGTACAAATTGAATTAAGAGAAACAAATATATTTAATTGTGTAAAACTTTGGTGCACAGATTTATAATTTTTATAAATCATCTCATAAATTTATGTACAATGTAAATTTTCGAAATAATTTGTATTTGTAAAAATACAAATAACGTGAAGAATTTCTTTGTAAATTATAATCAATGAGATAAATAATGGCGCGTGCCAGTGAAAAATAATAAAATTGTTAATGAATGAGTGTATTAATCGAATGTTGTTTTGGTCAATTGCATATGTATTATCCGTAACTGCTGTTGACACGATTAAATTGCGTCTAGCCTTCGCTCTCATTCATCATCCCGTACCCGTTCATTGTTTTTCTTTTTTCCATAAATTTGACTCAGATTCGAATTCTCCGCTCTATTTGACGCTCCCTCTCGCCACTACTGCGGACGGCTGCGAGAGGCCTTGCCTCCTCTTCAACGTCCGCAAAGAAGAGAGTTCCGTCGCCGGTGTTCTCGTCTACGGAGAATGTATGAAATGACCGAAAGGCAAAAAGGAAAAAGGACTCTACCCGGTGACTCGCTCTATATATACTGCAAGTATCCGAGGCTAGGCCCAGTGCACGATACGCGTCTCGTCCGTCAGCTTCAAGGTCCTTCGTCTTCGAGGATATCGTCGCGCTGCTGGCGATTCGTAGACCCGGGACGAAAAAAAAAATAACCCGCACGAATCCTTCTTTCTTCGATCGGATTTCGAGAGAAAAGGAATTCGCGATGAAAGGAATTACGCACGTCGTCCAATTGTCACGTTGTCATCTCCTTCTTCTGGTACTGGTTCTCTCGGGATGCGCCAGTGCGGAGATCGAGAGACGTGCCTCGAGGCAAATAGTCGAAGAAACGCCGGAAAATCTGGCATCCAATTTAAACAAAGATTGCGGGAAGTCATACAGTGCCACGTGCCTCAAGCTGGACGTGGTGTCCTTCTTGGATAAATTATCGGAACAGCAGGATATAGGTATCCTGCCGGGTGTATCTGTCGTCAAGGAGAACAGCTCCACCGATGTTCCGACGTCGGAAGTAGTCGCCAATCTGGCGAGAGACTTTCCAGATGTCGAAAAGAGGCTGGATGCCTACTTGGTTCACAAGGTTGGCAGTTACCTTAACAGCCACTCGATCTCCATCAAGCTTTTCGATCCGAAGACCTTCGAAGCTGCCAGAAGCTTCAATGAAGATGCACTCGCGCAACTCGGCTTGGGTGGCAGCCAAAATGTTGAAACAGGTTAGAAAATTTCATTTACTTATGAATGAGTGCCGATGCATAATAAAAATTATATAATCAAACAATTCGCAAGACAATTTATTTGACTGAATCGGATCTGCATACTTTTTTCCATTTTATTATTCATGTGTTTCAAAATATTAATCACTTCTTTACATTCGAACACAGGACGTAAGAAGGACAAGGGTAATGGCGCCCTGATGGCCGGTCTGTTGATGATGAAGGGAACCCTCGGCGCGGTTGGTTTCGGCGCCTTGGCGCTCCTCGCGGGAAAAGCCCTGATGACCGGCCTTATGGCGCTCATGCTATCAGCCATCATCGGGCTCAAGTCTTTGGCAAGCCACGGCGAAAAGAAGACCACGTACGAAATTGTTAGCAAGCCTGTGTACTCCAGTTCGCACACGCACAGCTCGGAGGAGCATCATGGACACGGATACGGGCACTCCGGATATGGCAGATCCCTCGATTCCGTTCACGACTCCTTGCAACAGGGCGTGCTCAAGTACGGCAACGCGCGCGATCGCAGATCAATCTTGCAAAATTAATCTCCGATTCATCAATCAATCCCGACGAGGCGTCTGCGCGCACTCGTCGATACACAACAAAAAAGCACATTAGCACATCTCTACCTCACCGAATTTCCTTTCTGTCTTTCCTTTCATCCTCACGCACTGTCGCTTCTGTTTCATCTGTCTCTTTACTTCTATTCATCTCGCTGTGCTCCTCCATCTCTTATCCTTCGCCATCGTAATATTTCTCGCTCGTCTCTCCAAGATCTCGTCTAATCTCATTTCATCTTGGTTCAAACGTTATCACCTTTATTATCATCTATAGTCACGTAGGTATTTATTGCGGTCGCATCTCAACTGGTTCGACTATCGTGGAAGCGTACCATCGCCGTGCACGCAAATTGCCCAAAATCATGTACATGATTTTTTTTTTTTTGAATATTTATTATTTTGTTATTGTAAAGTTGTAATAATAAAGAATATTTGTAAAGATATACTGTTGTATATTACTGCAATAATTTGCGGCGGTTAAGAATCATATAGTAAAAAACGCAGAGTGCCAAGTACGTGCCAAGCAGTTTTTCCACAATAACGTCAGTAAATAAGTAAGTAAATAAGAACGTTTATTGTAATGTTTAGCGATAACTATCAGGGATTTGTTAGTTCAAATGAGGAAATTGAACTCTTCTAACTGCTAGTCGTAAATGCATCGTGTGCAACCGTATCACGCGCTGAAAAGTCTGCACATACTTTCTGTTACGGCAATTTAATCTTCACGGTTAAACGTAGATATCTCTGAAGGTGAATGTACGCACCAATTAAAAAGTAATAAGACCGGCACCTCCACTATGATAGACCTTCAAGTTAACATTTTTGCATCAAATCATGGAGTGTTGCTATTCTCAAGGTGCATGCAGTTGCAATCGTGTTACACATCTATGTAGATATACATAAAACACTTACAAAAAACGTATTTTCTTACATTTTGCTACAATTTTTTGGACTAAAAGTTGCTCGACTTTGAAATTAAATCTATATTTTTTACGTTAATGCTACTGCCAGTAAACATTTTCACAAAATGTAGGGCTGGTTTTAAAATGGGAAAAATGTTATAGTTTTTAAAATTTATCACAAATTTTGTGAAAAAAATTTTTTTACCAAGCTACAAAGTGTTGAAAGTACGTAATTTTTAAAACAAAACAATGGGCGGTATTCATAGTCCGCTCTTATTCCAAGATTATCGTAAATACTGTCTTAAGATACTAATATGGCTTTCTGATTGGTTCATAGCATCTTAAAGCAATCTTAAATATAAGAGCGGACTATGAATACCGCCCAAAGTGTTCTTCTTTTCGAGCTCTGGAGCGTAAAATTAAAAAGTTTTTAAAAACGACTAAAAGTATGTAAAAGTACAAACTTCAAGATTTAAAATACTTTCACAATTTTTTATCTACGATTAATCGCCGAGTTTCAGTAGTTTGAAAATTGCTCAAGTTTGAGCATTTGAAAAATATTCCTTATTTTTTGGAGTAGTATTTAGAGTTGTATTTAAATAAGGCGCAATATACTTGCGCATAATCAAACTAATTTAGAAGAAAAAATGTAATCAAAATGAAAAAAAGATATTTAATGGAAAAAAACTTGTCGATGTTACACCAAAGTATTCATTTTATAAAAAGATCTTATTATATCATAGTCTTGTTATAATAGTTTTCTGATTATTGTAATATTGTGATTATCGTAGTTTTATTATATTATAGTTTTGTGGTCTTATTTGTTGGTACAAATCTAATATATTTTTACGTTATATAGCTATATTGTATATGAAAAGTAAATATTTTGTAATTTTACATTATATTGCATAAAACAATGAGTTTTTTAAATTGATAAATAGAAACGTTTATGATAGTAAAATCTTACTTTAAACATGTGTGTAATATTTTGGGCTAATATATATAATAATTCAATGTTTAATTTAATAGAAATATTAACAATTTTTTTTATTGTAGGGTAAACTATTTTCTAATACTAATTGTAAGTATTTCTCTAAATTTGAGTTAAGTAAGATATAAATCATAATAGAATATTTTGTACTGCATGACAAAAAATAATAATCTTATATTTCATAAGAAAATATCAAAAAATTACTAAATAGAAAATGTAGGAATAACAATAAGCAGAATTTTAATTAAACCTTTCCATTAATTACTTGTGTAATATATGTCAATAGATAATTATTAAACACTCGCGTTTTAGTATCTGATTATCCTTGTCGTTCTTTTCAATTTAAGTCTGCAATTAATTTGTAAGTAGCACAAATTGCCTCATCCTTCAAATTTTCTTATAATCGTGCCAGTGTATTACAAGCAGCTCATAATGCTGTATCCGGAAGCGTTTTCCCAAACTAATGCACGTGCTATCCAGTTGTGGCTACAACTCGATGAATGATTCAATAAGTCGCCTTTTCAAGCTTGTTATTACGAAACTACTTGTCTCACGGCGGATAATGACAATCGTGACAAAGCGTCGAGAAGATACCGCGAATGACATAAATCTTGTTGTATATAAACGATTGCGATGACCCGAAGATCAGTCAGTGTCAGTCGATGATCTTTCCAAGGTTATCTCTACCGTCGTCGGTACCAGCGTCAATTTCTTCCTGTGCAAAAGTGCGTGAACTTATGTTCGTCCTCCTTCTGTTGATCACGTGTGTGATCCACGCGAATGCATACGAGAAGAATGGAATCCGAAACGTCAAGAACTACATTCTTGACACGGGGTTGCGCAAGGTGCCAGTCGAACGTCAAATATTCAACTTCAAAAGAAATGGCATCAAGATCGACGTAAAGGTGGTTCCATCAGCTAAAGACGATTCGATAAAGATCAAAGAGGAAGACTATTTCCCGGAGTTTCCCGTAAAAGACATAGGCAAATGCATCTTAGAATTTTCACTTGGCTGCATCAAGAAACGTTTTGTCCGTTTCTTGGAGACGGTAGGCCATCTCGACGAAATCACTTTGCTCGGGCAAGACATAAAGCTGGTGAAGAACAAGGTAACACATAGATCCGATGGCCGAGCTATGAATGATACGGACGTCAATATCGAGCAAACCATAGATAATTTCTTCGATTCGTTCACTCTGCGTATCACGCTGCCCAGATGGGACAGTAAGCGAATGAAGAATCAGATCGACGTAATGATGGAAGATACAGCGGTAGCGGAAGGTTGGTTTAGAAAATATCAGAACAAATATAAACGTAACACAAACGTTAAGAGAATTTTGAAAAACATCTTTAAAAAGATTTATAAATGTTCTAAATTTTCCAAAATTTTTAAAAAATTTGTAGAACTTCGTCGCATATAGGAAATTATTTTTTCCCGCGTTGCTAAATCTCTGCGTTGAATGCAATTTGTTACAGGACGAGGAAAGAAAGGAGGCGGAGGCGGAGGTAAAGGCGGCGGTAAATGCAAGATGATGATGATGGGCATGGTAATGATGGTGAAGATGAAGCTGATGGGTAATGTTATAATTATTTTAACCTACTGCTTTGCGCGAGTACATTTCCGTTATTGAGATTTTATCTTCATTTTGTAAAAATTTTATACCATCAAACTGTTTTACTAAGATAATACTTAATCGAACATCCCGTACAATAGGATTGGCGGCGATGAAAGGTATGATGATGGGAGGCATGTCTCTAATGCTTACCATGATGATGCTGTCTGGAAAGTTTGGAAAGGGCGGAGGCGGCGGTGGCGGCCCTTGGCAAGGCGGAGGAGGAGGTGGAGGAGGAGGAGGTAAGACTACTTCTTATTTTCTATTTGTTGTATCTAATGTTTTTTTTTTTTGCTGGGGTCTTGATGAAATTAATCTTTCGATCCTCATACTAATCTTTGTCGTTTGACACAAAACACTATTTTACTGCCTACAATAACGTAGAAAATTAATATAAAGGCCTATTTTTTCCACTATTTCTGTGATAACAAAACTGAGTAATACTTTCTTAAAGCATTTAGCATTTAACAAGTTACTTCTATCACCTCGTGACACTTTCCAGGACAACTCAAAGAGATCGTACTTCTTACAAAATCTTCGGGCGGTGGAGGTGGATGTAGCGGTGGCGGTTGTGGCGGTAGTCCGCCTAGCGATAGTTATGGTGCACCTCCACCAAGTAGTTATGGTGCCCCTTCAGGAGGAGGCGGCGGCTACAGCGGCGGCGGAGGCGGCGGTGGATGGGGTCGCAGCTTCAACAAACGACCGATGATGCTGTCCAACGACAATATAATCAAGACGGAGACCGCGGACGAATCTAATCACACTCCAATGATAGGGGAAGCCGTCTCGAATATGGAGAGTGTTGATTATCCGGATTATGAGGACTATCAAGAACCATCGCCAATTGCGAATCCGAACTCCGTGACTTCTAATTGGAACGCGACAAATTATATCGCCTTCCATGAATACAAAGGCGCCGATGTAAGTTTGATGAAAAACAATTCGAAAGTAGAATCAACGGTAAGCGCAAAGGGTAGGACTCTCTTCAATCAAAGTCCATCTACTACTGTTGTCAATGCGATTGAGAAAAATGTCAATTCATTGACAAGTATGAGTCAACCTGATATTATTCACGAGACTAATGCGGCATATATGGATGAATGGCAGGCTACAGCGGAGAAAACAAGTTCGAACGATGCTTCGTCATCAAATTCGAATGCAAGAATTGAATTGCACGAAATCGATCCGCGCTCTAGAGAGGTGCCTTTATTACGTGGAATTTAAACTGTTAATTATATCATATACTTATATATATTTTTAAATAAAAAATACTGCAATTTTTGCGCAAAAGAATTTCTTTTATCAATATAACATTCCTAGTATGCCCTAAAAACATTTTAAATAAAAAGTTAAATTAAGGATTACAAGATATATTTAAAAAGAAGTCGTTGCCTTTTCTATGGAAAAATATCACTCTTATTGCTTAAAAAATTATGAATCAGTTATGTCGTAAGTTCAATAACTAATATTTGTTAAATTAATTGGTAGTATCAATTTGATAACAATAGATATAAACTTTTCAAATTTTATTAATTATTTTTTTTTAATTTTAATTTATTTTTATCTGCAATGTAGTGGCGCAATCTCTTAAAGAGTCTTCTAACCTTCTTGCCACGACTTTCTAGTGAGTAACCGTTCTTGAAAGTTACCGGAAGTGTACAGGTATCATCAACGAGATACTGTTAAAGACCAACAGACCGGAGTAAATCTTCATGACTATAAAGGGGCCTCTGGGGGCCTCTGGGGGCCTGTGAGTAAAAGCATTATTAATTCGAAAACACATTATAAAAATGTATAAATATTTAAATAGTTAGCTTATAATTCAATGTTAATTTTGTAAATTATTATTATTAAAATATTTTAAAAATATAATAAATATATCTGCAATGCAATAATATTATAGATTTCTGTACAATAATTAGGTAATAATTACATAATAAATTGTAAAATTAATATTATATTACAAATCCACTTTCCACATATTGTCCATCATGTGAGAAATTAAAGGATAAAATAAAAATTTTAAAATTAATTCAAATCGCTAGGGAAAATGACGAAATACAAATTTATGTAAGCGTAGAACAATTTTCAAAAATCTTAAAGATTTAGTTTTTAAACTCCGTCAAGCTTTTTCTTCGAGCTTCTAGTACAAGAACCAGAATTTATCATTTATTATTAGACATTTTTTGTAAACACATATTCGAATATATTAATAATATTTCTTTAATATTAATTATATCCTTGATATTATGCTTCTACATTGCAGACAAAAATAAATAAAAATCTTAAAAAAAAAATAATTATAAAATATGAAAAGTTTATATCTATTGTTATCAAATTAATACTACCAATTAATTTAACAAATATTAGTTATTGAACTTACGACATAATTGATTAATAAATTTTTTAAGCAATTAGAATGATATTTTTCCATAAAAAAGGCAACGGTTTCTTTTTAAATATATCTTCTAATCCTTAAATTGGAATTGACATTAATTATATCCAAACATATTAATAATATGTTTTCTAAATAACTGCATTACTATCATTATTATTCATGCGTATTGTTAACTTGGCTTATACTGTTTCTTAATCCTTATCAGAGGATGTCAACGCACAGTGAAGTTACGCGACTCCCGTAAAACCGATTGTCGTTAGTAACATTTCGTACCTGATGAGATTGGATTATACCTGGTTATACCGATCGAGAGGCTTAAGCGTGAGGAACATTGACACCAGATGTCGAAAGCTTCGTGCAATCGGTCAAGTTCAAGATTGAACAGATGCATATACGGATCGTCTAAAAGAAGGACAAATAAAACACATTCGACGTCAGTAACGGTTTTTCTCGTGCATTATAGTCCGCTAATATATTTATTTCTGTTTTATTATGTATATTTTAGATATAAAAATCGACTGCAATTATTTTAATTGATTTTTTATTCTAATGTCAACCGATTTTATTGCCGAATTTGTTTTATTGAATCTAATTTATTGAATTTTTTTACATATTTAATAAAATCGAATGTTTTATAAAGTCGTGGTATAATAAGATGTTAAAAATAAATAGAAATACTGGAAAACCAGTTACAAATTCTTCGAGAATTTAAGAAAATTTATTAAGAATTTATGTTAAGCAATAGTCTTTTATTAAATTTAAATTTGGAGAATTTGAGAAATTCTTAATAAGAGAAATTAATATGGTGCGTAAAAATAAAGACAATGCAAATATATAAATCTTATGTAAATTGATCTTCAAGAAATTTGATGAAATATAAATCAGTTATCATGTATAAATGTACATTACGTTCTTTTCATTAATCTCATATTTTCTACTGCTTCTTTTATTCGGATTTGTCTGATATAAATTCAACTTACATGGCGCGTTTTACTCGACTAAATTCTTAAGTCGTCCGAGTCGTGAGTTTTTACTCGCGCAATGATCGACCCACATTAGTGCGTTGACCGTCTGCTTGTGACTCGCGGCACGTAGCCTTTTCGGTGGCAACGCGATCTGATTTGAAAAGAGTAACGGCAGAGGCGGATTTGTCAACCATCGTCTTGAACAGTGCATGAACGCGCACGTTTATGGTCGCGCATTTGATTTTCTCCACGCTCTCCTTTGGTTCTTTTGACGAGGAAGCGCCCGTTTATAAATCGCGAGGTCATCTGTCGATCACCGTTAGATAACCTACTGTTTAACGGGACACAATTCGTCACTCCGCTCCCTTTCCGTGACTGATCGGACAGGAAAATTGGTGAAAGTATTCGCCTGACAAAAAGAAGGTTCCCACTGTTACGGAAATAGATGCAACACATCATAGCGTGCCCGCGGATAGGTTCACTTTCTTGCGTTATCGCATCGTACGACAATTATCAATTACCATGACAACATTCACATTGCCATTCATCGAAAACACAAGAATTTCTATATAATTTTATTTATAAAAGTCGTAAAATAATTTATTTTATTAAAAAATCCAATTTTTGAAAAGATTTTATGATTTTATGTCTGCTTTCCACACATTTGCCAGTGTTAACACTTAGTTAATATTAGTTACAAAAGTATATCATTTGTTCTCAATATTTATTTCCGGGTACATATTTAATGGATTGTTTTTTTCGTTTGTTCATTTACTTATTAGAAGTCTAACGCAAAAGTCTTTGTCAGTTGACGTAACGGAAATTGTATGTCTCCATGTCGGCGTAATACGAGGTAATGTACAATATGCTATTTGTTCCGTCAGGGATGGTGCGATAATATTGTATTTGCGTGTTCTGTGATATATAGAAAGAAGTAGAAGATAGGTAAGTGGGTGAGTAAATGTCGTCACTCTTCGTCGAAGAATAGAAATGAGGAGTTTGCGAACATGATTGACACTTTAACGATTGTAACAGTTGGCTGTCGTAAGATTTTAGCCATTCTTAATTGTTCTATTTTTATAATTGACATATAAATTTAACGTTAGAAATACATTATTTGTGTTCGATTTAAAAATATCTGTAGTAAAATAAATTTTTTAATAATATTTCATTAAACTAAAACACTAAAAGATTATTTGAAAAATAATATTTTACAACAGAGAAATAGACGAACTGTACTTTCTAAGGTCACCCAAGCTGTAGAAAAGATCATAAAATTTGACGGACTTCATTATTGCCCATTACCATACAATAAAAAAATTTTTCTTAAGCAACGATAAAGCTCACACATTTTCGTTCACCCAATATGTGACATGTCCCAGTTGCTTGGTTCACTTCGTACACGTGCAAACCAGTTTTGATGCAATGCAGACAAATACTTTCCGTTGAAACTACTATCGCCGTTGAAGTTTGCGTTTCTGGTTCGCGGTCGGAAGTTTCCAGCTATATGTCTATAACTCGAAATACTTTCTAATATGCGGTCGCATGTGTTACGGGCGACTGGCACATCCCAAGTAATTCGTTACAGTCAGACCGGCACAAATTGCTTCTTTTTTTCGAGATCGTTAGATCTTACGAGATAATTAAAAAGCAATAACATTGATGAGTTTCACCGGTGTACATTGCAATCATTACTAGAATTATAAGCCCATTAAATTACAATTTATTAAATATAGATCCGTGATACAATGGGCAGAATATCTCAGTAATGACATAATAGATAAATCTTAATCAGCAAACAATCGGAACAAACTATTTGTATTGTTTGAAGTATTTCCTAGTCATCAGAATAAGTGGAATTTGTGCATTAGAATTTTTCATTGTACATTAGAAAACTTTGGAGTGTATTGTAAAGCATCGTAAGTAGAGAGTGGTATTAATGCAGCCTTTCACTAATCGTACATAAATATTAGCCGCTAACCGACAGTATTGTTTAAAGTGATTATCCTGAAAGCGTGCGAGTTTCAGTAACACAGAGTACTGTCTCCGTTTCCACGAGAAAAAGTATCCAGTAGCTTTGTCGCGATTTGATAAATTATGGCCAAGATGTAATTGGGTTACACTGGAATGTTGTACGGGCCCCTTGTTCCTCCATGGGTATCGAGAGCTCTAAAGAAGAGAGCGCGCGTGCCGACGCGCACATTATATTATTTCGCATTCGTCAACGGAGAGGCCGGACAAATCTCCGTGGTGGAACGAGATCTCTAGCACGAAATTCTGCTTCCTTGAATGCGCCTTCCGCGTGTGCATATGAGCGTGTACAATTACTTTTCGGCAGCGTAGGCCGGTCGTACGCCTCAACCTACCTACCTACCTACGTAGCGCCTGCCATTTAGGTCAATGAAATTCATCCGGTTGAACCGCGTTCGTCCACTCACCTGGCCCGCCCGATCGCCCGGTGTTTAAGTTCTTCTCTCCCGTTCTTATCCCTCGGCATTGATACGACATTGACCTCTATATTTTTTTACTCAGTTCGATCCAAGTAGTTACCGTGCGCTACTTCCAAAACTCGTTTTTTGTACGAGAAATGATTTGTATGTCGAAAATGCTATAAAGTAATACAAATTGAATGTATTTTTTAGGTAGAATTTGATGAATAAAAAACATAATAATTATAACGTTGGAGATAAATTTTAACAAAAAATAGCTTTAGTAGAAAAAAATTAATTCTTATAACTATTTTTTTTTTTTTTAATTATGCAATAAAACAATATATTTCCATTTCCTAATAAATCATCGTTATTGAATTAGAATACATAATTAGAAGTATTCAAAAATATTATTAACAGGATGGAGAAGATAGATACGTCAGTTAGATATGTGGGCAGGTCGGACATAGATTCCATGCGTCAGACTTGCCGGCTGGAATAATGAGAACACCTTCACCAGGAATCAGTGAAAAGCCTGAAGTGCGGTTAGTGGATTAAATGTAGCAAGATCATGTTTACTATAGGTTGTACTGTTCTGCTTACATTCACGCGTATAGATGAAGATTGTAAAGCGAGTTTTTATCTCGACACACATTAAAACTTTTTTTTTCCGGACGCGGCGAGTTATGTTTTCTTTTAAAGTAAAAGTACATTATATTGCACTCAATGAGTTGTTTTATTTGAGCATCACTTGCGTTGATGATTTTTTCAATGAATTGCGATGATACTTGTATATGCATTGACGTCTACATTTTAACACGTGATGTTATTCTAGTACTTGTAATATTTTATTCCGATAAGCAAACATAGCAAACATAGCAGCGCGGTATTCGTGTCCGGAATAATTCATTTTAATTCATTCATGAATCTTTCTTTACATTCGCGGATCTGAAAGTATGTTTTCACTAATGAATATGCATTCGCCAAAAAGATTTTATTAAATTTGATCGCAATAAATGTAGATTTTAACAATATATAATTTTTTATAAAATTGGACACAAACATATACGATTAACTTAGCGGATTATAACTGTATCTTAGCTATTTTAATGTACATATTTCACTTCTTTTTTCTTTAATTGTAAAAAAATTATTATCATAAACAAAATTAAGTGTCCAAGATATAATATATGTGCTAGAAATTTTGATTACTGAATTCGATAAGAAATATTCTCAATCTACGCGTTGGTTTGGTTTGGTAATACGCATGATGTTTACAGACAGCGACTTCCAGCAAGAAAGAAATGTTCACTGAGCTACTTATAAAATACATGCAAATATATATTCTTTTGTATTTGTATATTTGAATTCAATAGAAATTATTTAACGAGATATCTTTATTAAGTATTCATTTATTACTTTGAGTTTAAAGTCTTCAACTTAAGACTATTGCCTGTGCGTGTAAAATGCATAAACATTTTATTGTATTTTTACAATTATTATATGTATATATTTATATCCCAATTATATCTCAAAGTTGGAAGTCCATTTATTACACCAATCACACGAGATAAAGGAAGTTAAACTGGATTTTTGCCGAAGCACTTAGACTCACATATAATCCCGTATAAGTAACCAACTGTACTACGAGGCGATTCAACTACGTAATGGCTCGCGGGGGAAATTTCTTGCTATCTTCTTTCGAAGAAGCGAACTGCAATTGACAGGCCAGGAACGACTGTAATTAACTTTTTTATATCTGTGGAAACATTGCATGCCACTATGTAATGCACATTAAATTCTAATTATATCTTGTGACATCTTATATATTTATAATACGTAATATAATAAAATTTACAAAACGTCTGACATAAAATATAATGTTACATAACATGCGACAAGAATGTGAGACAAATCTTTCCAATTTAATCAGTCATCTAATTCTCATTTCTGCATCTAATAACTTGCAAATTCAATTACATAATCGAAACTGAAATCCGTACGATATTAAGCATAAGCAAATGGGAATTTTATATTTTTAACGCTGGGTGTTGTAGAAGCTAGCAATATTGAAGACACGAACAGACCTGGCAATTATACTAAATCGGAGCTCCGTTGATCCAGAATGCAATTCTCAGTATATCTATGCACTAGGCTTTCGGCCAAAAGCTAAACCGTGTTAAACGCGTGCATGTATAACCTGGTCGACTGCAGTCCGAGAGGAGACGATAATGACCTTCCACGGAGGAGCTCGCCGACGGAGTAGGAGGGCCTTTGACATACTTGACGCTCAGGTGAATTGTAACCGAGAACGGAGAGGCCCGTGGTTAGTGCGGAGCGAGAGATCGAACGGAGCGCGTCTCGACGGGGAGACGGAAAAGAGAGAGACAGAGGTATAGAAAAAGGGTGAGAAAAGACGAGAACAGGTCGTAGAATTACGGCAAAGATATGATGTGTAACGACGGTGGTCAGAGTGTGGTGCGGTCAGCTTAACGATCGACGTCTGCGATGCAACGTGATTGCGACGGCGGAACTTGCCGATCGGCGCCGAATCGCCAGAAGAAGAAGAGGACCATCTACACGGGCGGGTGGGAGAAGGTTACGGTAGAATTTTTGGCCACGCTGGAAGTGGGGGTGGATCGGCGCTGAACAGCAGAGATCTCCAATAAGTAGGAAGGGCGTATGATGATCGCGGGTAGATACCAAAGAAGCCGACGCACACGTGGACCGACAGTGACGATGACCCTTCCGCGAAATCAAAAGTGCGCCGGTTTTAGTTATTAGATAAACAGCTGGCCAAGTGACGGTGGTGGTGTGCAATCGGAACGTGTGCAGTGCTTCCGGGACGTTACCTCATATTTCTGGTCATAAACGGAGTCAACGTAAAGTAAACGCGCGTACAACGTTAAACGTAGTTAATCCCGGCGAGTGGTGTCGAAGATGCATTGGCGGAGAACGTTGTTCCTGTTGTGTTTCGCGATAACGTTGTCGTATTCGGAGCTGTTCAGCGCCGAGAAGCTCAGGCGGTACGCGAGGGTCCTGAAACTCGACGCACTGACCGTCAACGCGACTGGAAACGATCTGTGGCGCGGACTCTTCAAGGATTGTCACAAGAGAGTGACGTTTTCCTGCATACAGAAGAACGCGTACACGTATCTCGACAATGTGTTCATCGAGAGGGACAACATCACCGTTTTCGACGGTCTAATCCTTACGAAGAACAATATGACTTACGACACATGTCGCAGAACGGAAGGCCGTAACGATGTTCGCGAGAATCTCGTGGATGACGTCGATGCGGACGACGACTGTGAAAAGAAAGCGGCTGAACAAGCAGAAGCGCAGGGTCGAAAGTTCGCGGACGAACCGGAATCACCGCTCGAGGTGATCACGAACGCTCTGCGGCGGAAAACAGTGAAATTCCTGTCGACCCGCAATTACGAATTACAACTTCCGCAGTTCTTCTTCGAAGGCGCTACCGTGAAGATAAGCCCGCGCGAGATAGACGAGAACGGAGCGCTTCTCAGGGTGGATTTCGGAAATCAAGATCAAGTGGAAGAAGGACGAATTTTATTCAAAAAAATCAGTGAGAGAAACAATTTCTTAACGTTTTTATATCATTAATTTTTTAATACTTTTGATAAGGACAGAAAGTATATGTTCTGTTTTGTTTCAGGAAAATTCATACAAAATAGATTATTGACCAGTTTCCTAGCGCTTCTTTTAATTATCAAGCTAATTAAGGTGAAGTTTCTATTCATCGTTCCGTTTCTCTTCGGAGTGGGCACTGCGAAGAAACTCTTCTTAAAATTATTGCTCTTTTTCATTCCCGCATTCGCGCATATCTTCAAGCTTTGCTCCAGCTATTATTCGAGTCACAGCACCAAGTTTCATCATCATCATCATCAGGTATGCGTGGAAAGTCTCCGCGTCTCGATCTTTTTAATCTCAATGAAATATTTATCAAAGATCTTGCATTCCAGATAGCGCATCATCATCATCACGTACCGGTTCCGGTGCCGGTGTACTACGACCATCATAATCGTCATCATGACGAGGAGGACTTCGATGGCTACGATTACGCTCATCCTCACATTCAGTATCGGAAGGACATGGAGGAACTGAAAGAGTGGGGCATCGAGCCTTATGACGAATCTTTCGAAGAATCCAGCCAGCACTTGAATCGCGTCCCCGCTTCCGGTCTTACGTATTCGAGTTCGTACGGCCTGCCGCAGTACGCGTCGAATGCGAAACCGATCGCGTCATCTTATCCGGACAACTCGGCTGGCGCGCACAGCTTGGCCTACTCCGGATATCTGAACGACGTTAAATACAATCGGCGACCGGCGGTGCAGCCGGTCGCCGCCGTGCTCTCGGTGAATCCGAGCCTCGTGTCCGCTGCGAAGACACCGGTGAAAAATCCTTACGCATTGTTCACGGCGAACATGCATCATCATCAGGTCCAGAGGTTCCTGACGCCTGCCGCGAACGCCAAGAGCTCGTCCGTATCGATCTCGCGGCAAGACACGGACGACGAGTATTACGGTCCGATAATTGCCCGGCTCGAGAACATCTTCGAGCAGCTGAGATTCCACGAAGAGACGTGCAGGGAAATGCTTGTTTGCAACATGTACAAGAACCCGGCGGGTTACTCGCCGCACAGTAACCTCGTGTCGAACGAGCTTTCCAGGTACGAAACGCACCGGCTAACGTAGTGAATCGATTAAATCGCCGCGTATATTTACAAAGAGAAAGGTGGAGATCGCCCGCATGCTCCGAATCGCGTTAATCAGGCCACGTTGGCTTTGGCTCTTTCTCTTTCTTTCTCTGCTTCTCTCTTTCTGTCTGTATTTCTCTCTTTCTCTTTCTCATCGCTCTTTTTTACCGCTTCTTAACGTTACGATTGTGAATTGCATTGTGTCTGATTTATATAGCCTGGTATTTGATTTTGTTTAGTATTCAATTGTTTTCTTTTCCTCATCGAATCGTTTCTTTTTGCCGCGACTCGCGCGTATCGTGCTTATCCAGCTAATCTATTCCATCTTGCTTAGTATTCCATCTTGCTTAGTATTCCACTAACAATCGGCGCGAGATGTAAAAGAAACTTTCGGCCGAACCGGCTACGCGACGGACCGGAAATATGGGACAGTTCCGTTTTACGTTTGTCGGACAGCTCGCTTACGCACAATAATTACATTAAAGATTATAATCTCGAAGAGTAATTTTCTTTTTAACCGCGACACCGTTTAAAACTTATGATTTACAGCTACATGCTTATGACAAATTATTTTAGGAGAACAAAGCGAATCGTGTCAGCGCGACTTGAAACATGTGTTAATTAAGTTGCATAATTGTCGCACTTTTTATAATTATATATATATAATAGATAATATCTTTATATATATTGCGTAACTCGGTCACTTTAAGACTAGATTAAATCAAACAACTATCTTTTTTCAGGGATCCTCAAGAACTCAACTTAGGCATAACAGAGAGTGCATCCAGTCAGAAGTTCTACAAATATCTGAGCGCAGCCAGATATGGTCAGGATGGTGGAGATTGCCTTAGAACATATCCCTGTCAGAATAATACCGAATAAATGCCTTGTGGTAAACATGTAATTTACATCAACTCGCATATATGTAATTAGAAATGTCACCTAAAGCAAGCACTAGATACATATATGTATTTGCTCAATAAGTTCGAAGAAATTACACGAAAAGATCAACGTTGTGTTATATCGGTATAAAAAGACCGATACTGCCATGCATTAATTTATGGATACGTGTAAAAAGATGTGTAAGAATTTATATCTAAAATCTTCCTACTAGTAAAAAAAAATTGAAATATTACGACGATAAATTGGTTGGACAAAGCGATTAATTTAGCTATAAGTTGATAAATTAGATGTAATATTTATTGTAATCTATGCCAGGTTTGTGAATTTATAATAATGGGGTTTAATAAAGAGAGACAAATTGGTGAATTTTGTGATGACGTGTTAAAGTTTCTAGTCTATTGACACGTTGTCAACAAGATCACTGTCTCCGAGACAATATTATTTTTAGGTATGAATATACAATAGGGTGTTGATACAATTTTGGATTTTGTGGCATTTTATGAATTAAGCGTGTTTTATAACTTTTAAATTATTTTTGTGCAATTTATAGAAATACAGGATATTTAAAAAATAATTATACAAAAAAAAAATTCTATCAAAAATAAGCATATTTGCCTTAAAAACCGATTATAAGCAAAAAAAAAGAAAGTTTTCTTACACATGCAATGTATAATTTTTTTACTATCTCTGTAAAAAAAGTAATTCACATTTTATAATGACTTTTGCATCTTGTAATAAATTTTTACATTTTCTAATTATATATGTAATGACAAAAATATTATAAGTAAATAATATTTTGTAATAAATGAAAAATATGTATGCGTGTGATGTTATGTAAAAATTAATTAAGATATATACATTTAGTGTATAATTATAAGAACTATTTATTTTGTCCATTATAATCAATCAGTTACTATTACATACTCGGGTGCCATACCCAACAATTAATAGTTTAAACTTTTACAATATTAAAATATAATGTAAAAAATAAATAAATTATTTGAAGAAACTAGTTATATATAATGCGATTATGTATTTAACTTAAATAATAAAATATTAAATCAAAGTGTTTATATTATTTATATTACTATTATACTCTTCTCTTCTAAAATATCTGCACATTTATATTTATTATTTCTAATATTAATTTTTAAGCCAAATTCAAACTGTTTGAATTAAATTGTTTTCATAAATACTTAAAATAATTTTATATATTTTGGTTAACTTTTTAAATTCTTTTTTCAAATAATAAAGATGCAAGCAATATTTCGCAGTAAATCTTTGTTATTATATAACACATTGATCAAGAAAATATATATTTTTAATTAGATTTTAATTCTTCTGCTATATTTCTATTTTAATTGTTACAATTAGCTTATAAAGATTTTTAAGGAAATAAATTAAGAATTTTAAGAATTAAATTAAGAATAAATTTTTTTTAAATATACTATTATAAAAAAAATAGTGTATCATTTTCACTACATTATATATAATAATATATAATAAAAATAGCACTTTACAAAATAATTTTTTAAATTTAATTATGCATAAATATATAGTGATTTTATAATACAAATGATCAAATTATAATATAATTAAGAAATTTCTGATATACCTATCCTTTTCTTACTCAAATTTACATTAAGATTTCAAAAGTGTAAAAATTTTAACGGAACAAAGTAAATTCCGAATTTATTTTAATATTTCGTGAATTTATAATTACTTTATATTTCGATCAGTATATTTAACAAAAGCATAAGTTTAACCATAATTGCACTAATAAATAAAATAAAATTTAAAGATTTATCATGCTAATAGAAAATGTTATGCAGGTATTTAGAAGTTCATGGCCTAACTATGCTATACGGCTCATCTATGAATACAGTTTACTCATTGTCAGTAAAGGCAAGCCAAAAATGGGTGTGCTATTTCGTGTGGGCATTAAAATCGAAATTATTCCAGAGGGACGAAGGAGCTCGTGAAAACATCGACACTCTAGATAATGAGGCTTTCTTCTTTTCTTTTAGCCAGCCGGTAACACGTCCCTGATCAAAATTCATCAACCGTACACGACTACCATCGACTATAAAACCCCGTTGCGCTTGTTCGCACTGGCATTCGGTGTTTAGCCTGACAAATCGGTGGTACCACCATGAAGATCTTAACCACTTTTGTGTCAGTAGCCCTTTTGGCCACCCTTACTGGTGCGCAACAAACAGAGACCACCGTCGGTGTCTTGCAAGAAATATATCACAGGTCAGTTGTTACAATTATTTTATACATATAAAATTTTACTAGTTATAAGAAATAATTGCGTTGTGTTAAAATTACTATATAATTTTTTACAAAATGTTTGATATATTTAGTAGATTAAAACAATAATATTTCCAGGATAATTAATATCTTATGTCGTTCACTGATTTCGTTCACAGATGCGTGGATAGCGAATCCATGTTATCTTGCGTTAAACCAAAGGTGTTGACTTACATCACCGACGCTGTGAAACAAGATAGATTGGCAATTACGGAGGATTTGGCAGTGATTAAGTCCCGTGACGTGTCGCAGGATAATGCGGAAGATTACTCCTCGCAATACGACGCCGCAAGTTCTTCCAAAAGGAAACTCCTGCGAACACTGATGCTCGAGAAATTGGACGCGTACCTATCGAGCCATCAGCTTGAAGCTAAACTACCGGAAACAATTGTAGGATCGAATATCGTTCCTAGATCCTTGATTGACGGCATGCCGAAGAGTCTAACAATTCCTCTTACGGACTCTTCCAACAATCAAGGTAATGACAAATAAGATAATACTATACTTGAAATCTGTTCGTCTATAATATACATTCAATGTAAAAAAAATGCAGTAATTGATCTCCAAAAATAGTCGTACAAATGTTACCTTTTTTTTCAAAATATAAAATAAGTAAGTTGATTTTTTAAATTTATTTATATTTGCAGGTCGTGGTTTTGTTAGAAAGGTGATAATACCGTTCCTGCTCGGTCTCAAGTTCAAAGCCACCGCTGTGGTGCCTATCGCTCTTGCTCTGATCGCCTTAAAGACGTGGAAAGCGCTGACATTAGGTCTACTGTCGTTGGTTCTTAGCGGAGCGATGGTGATCTTTAAATTGACTAAGCCGAAAGTCGCTTACGAGGTTGTCCACTACGGGCATCCACCTGTGGAACACCCGCCTCATTGGGACACTGCGCCTCACGGACCTTACAGGGCTTATAGAAAATAAACCGACGTAGAAACGACGGATATATTGATCGCCTCATCATTTTTGTAGATTGCTTATTCGATATTTATTCATCATTAGGGCTTATTTATGGATAATAAAAATTTTTACATTATTTCATTAAATAAACCTTGTCTCTTATTTTTTATCTCCATCTTCTTCGATTTAATTAACTCTCGTTTTTTTTTTCTCGGACGGCGAATTGGAAAGTGTTGCGTTTTGTAAAAAAATAGCGAACGAATCCGAAAGTATTAGCTTTAAAATCGAGAAAGTGATCATTTGAAGTAGTGTCTTGCTTTGCGTTCCCACGCTCAACATAATTGCGTAATTTGCGTAATTCAAACATGGGACACAATACACGGATTGTTTTTAGAACTGTTATAGTAATTTAACATCAACACAGATTATGTGTAATATATTACACACATAATGTACAAAAATACGCATAAATACTTGACAGTGAAAATGTTGAAGCAGAGTTTTGCACAAACTTTTATGCAAATTTGTTACTTTATCTATTGAATGCTTATTTTAAACATATAAAAATGCCGTATTTCTTTTAAAAAAGACATCTATACGCTCATAATTTATCTTGTAGCTGATTCCTGTATTGAAATTTGATTTGTTAACGATTAGCGAGCTCAGAACAAAAAAAAATAAATTGATTGTACAAAATGTAAAGAACGTTGATCGACATTTTGTCAGCTAGACGGCCTGAATGCTTATGCAAACTCGACCCAAAATTCCAGTTGCCGTTTTATTGTTACGACAAAGAAGAAGTCGGGCAGCACAGAAGTGTCTCCGATGGTATCCTATGCGCATTCTCGCGCGAGAAACTCGCACGCAACGCGCATCGTTGATGTACCTGTTTTTCTTTAGGTCCGAACAGGAGTTACAATTTAATTAGGTCTGGCAGAGTGAAATTAGCACCGTCTGGAGATCGGGCGATGACGGCATAAAGAGACGTGAAGAAAACACGGAGAGACAGGAGGGAGCTTTAACGGAATGTTCGTGTGGAAAGTCATGATCGTGGCATGAATGAATGATGATCGATTCAATGCCAATGTTGCACGGTGACTTTAGTGTCAAGGATAAAGAACTTTTTGTACATTACATAGCTTCCGGATATTTGCTACAAATATAAGAAATAGAAAAAATAGATAAAGCTTTTAATATTCTGCCTCAATTTTTTTTCCAATAAACCTTTAAAATTATTAAAACACATATTATGTAATTGTTTAAATATTCATTATGATAATTAATTATTTTTTTTTATATGGAAAAATTCAGCAAATAATTAAAAAAGAATTTAATCAAGTTTTTATGCAAATATAAATTCAATCGCATAATCGACTAGTATCGCATAGCATTGTGTAACATCATTCTAGTGCCAAAATGGAAAGTAATTAAACTGTTGTTATGTGTTAAGTTATACATTATTTTATGCACATAAGCACACGTCACTTTTCTACGTAGTGTCTAATTTTGAAAAACTATTGAGAAATGTATTCTTGTCTAGCCAAATTTAAATTTTAACTAATTACCGATATTCCATAGTTTCCTACGAAATTCTTTTTTGCTTTTTTTTTACAATGCAAATTTCTTTTCTCTCCTAATGCTTTTAAATACTTTTGAACAATTCCGCTTTCTTCCGTGTCATTTGGGTCACGACAAATTAAGCTTGATTACGAAGTCCGGCTGCGTCCATTATCAAAAATTAATTCCGCGTCGCATCCTTCAAAAATATTCCACGAGCGACAATTGTCACAAGTGGGTCTGTCGATCGTAGAAAGCAAACTGCTGCTCATTAATATCGTAGATTCCATCGCGTTTCATGAGCCAGAAATATGACCTATTGGCATCGTCGAGGCCGCTACCCCGATTCGATATCGCGTGCAGCGTGTCGCGCGACCTCACGCTCGCCCAGTCTATCCTCCCTCATCAAGTAGTCGCGACATGATCCGTGGCCGAGGCCTCAATAATCGAAGACCATACTGAACGAAAAGAAAATCCATGTCCGAATGGAAGTGGGGGCGTGTTCGGGATCACCGCTACGCGACTCTTCAACGTGCGTTGTACGGTGCGACGATAGGCCTTCGTATAAATACCGTACTGCCCAACCCATTGGCATCAGTCGTCGTGTTGCGATCGTCCTCATTCATTATCCACGAACGGGTGTACTAGCGCGAGGCTTCTTCACGAGGATACACCCCCTGCCAGCGCCATGAGATACTTAGTTTTGTGCGCTCTGCTCGCATTGGCCGCCGCGCAACCGGCCAAGAATGAGAATTGGAAGACCGCCATGGATGAGATGGTCGATCAATCCAGGTCCGAGTGCTCGCAGAAAAACGATGAGATTGCTTGCATGAAGTTCAAGGTGTTCAATCTACTTGACCAAGTCTTCAGCAAAGATAACTTCAAGGCAAGTATCGGTGATCTCTTTTCGGTGCCTTTCTTTCAATTTAATTCAAGCAGTGACAGTAGAGTCTTTGCATTTTTCTTTTTTGCTTTTAATTTATCTTCATTTTAGTTGTCAAATTAAAAACATGTAAGTTAATTTATTTGATTATTTCTTTCATTAAATTTTCTATTTTTACAAATCTGCCGGTCTTCACTGCCTCAATATCTCTAGGTGTCCGAGACGGTGGAAGTTACGCGCAACTCGCACCCCGCCAAGGAAGTGTCTGCTCGTGGTGAGAGTTCCTTCTTCGACATCGTGCAATCCTACTTGGCTTCTCACGACGTGACCTTCAAGCTACCACTGGACTCCACCGTGAAGGTAAGCTCACGCGGTATCGAGGACGATCAGCTCACCTTCGACGTCAAGTTCGGTGAGGGCCGCGCCGTCGATGAGGCTCGCAGATCCAAGCTGAAGAAGGTCATCGTCCCTATTCTCGTGTTCGTCCTCCTAAAGGCGATAACTCTGATCCCCCTGGCCATCGGAGTGCTCGGCTTGAAAGCCTGGAACGCTCTACAGCTCTCGTTCTTCAGCTTCATCGTATCCGTTGGCATGGCCATCTTCCAGCTTTGCAAGAAAATCGCCGCTGATGGTCACGTTGCGCCCATCGCTCACGGACCCTGGGAGTACCAGGCTCAGTACAGATCTTTCCAGGATCAGGATCAAGCTTCGTCGTCACAATTCGCGCAGAATCTCGCATACTCCGCTCATGCACAATCCTAAAATCGCTATCGCTTTATCGGCGTTTTTGTAAGATATTTAGTTTCCTATTTGTATTGTATATTTAATAAATTATATTCTTGCAAATTATTTTGTACCGCGCTTACTTGAAAATCCGCTTCCCTCATTTTTCTATGCTTCACTTATCACTTAATATTGACATTTTTAGAAAAGAAAAGAAAAACTTAATTAATAAATGCAAAATGTATGCTATAAAATATAAGTATGCAAAAATAAAGATGATCTGTTAAAGACGTATTTTCTTTGCAATTCTAAAACAATGTATATTTTGTTGAGATTAAAAAATTACATTCCAATCATTAAATAGAGAAACTGGAAAAGATATTTTAATTACATGCAAAAACAGATAGATTAAAAATTTGATTCAAAATCTTACAATCTTTTTTTCCATTATTAAAGTATATAAATCACTTTCACACTTTTAAAGAAGGAAAATTAAATTTGTCCCTTTCTTTATGTATGAATTATATTTTTGCACAATAAGTAACTTGTTTTAATATATTTTTCTTTTTAATTAAAAAAATTTTAATTAAAAACTTTTTAAAATAAAACGTTAAATAAATAAACAATTTATGTAAATTTATGTAGATTTATGAGACATTCTTTTACAGCTAATTTTATTTAGCACTACTTAATTGTACGTGCTTAACATTTTTATAACACACTTTATGTTCTTTATATGACGCTCTTTTGTATTATTACTGTTTTCTAAGTTCACAGAATGCATCTTGCATTCAAAATTAGTTAAGATTTTATAAGATATTTAAAGGAGACCTACATGTGACTGTGATCACTTTCGTCTTTCATGAATGTTGATTGGAAGTCGCCATTTTAGGAGAGTCATTTCACTATTTTAGCATATTACGTGAGTGTAATTTTTACAGAAAAGAAAATGTTCAAGAAAACGTTTTAATTTACACACATATCGTGATTAAATATTTTTTACATACAGAGTGTCCCACGAAAAGTGGCCAGCCTCTTTTATTTTTTAAATTAAAAGAAATAGACATAATAAATATATATATCAAATTAAATGGTTTAAACTGAATTCTATTGTGAGCATAATAACATAAAAAAAGCATAAAAAAATTATGCATACCTCTCCGTTCTTTAACACGGATAGCTTTTGTAAGCAACTATTATGCTCACAATAGAGTTTAGTTTGAACCATTTAATTTGATATATATT